TCGGGACCCCAACAAGTGACGAACCCAGCTGGGACATGCTTATTGCTCGTGAGCATCCCTATGTTCTACTCCCTTCAAAGGGGAGATGGCACAAACTAAATCATTTTTAGTTTTAGCAGTAGGAGCATTTTGAATTTTAGTAGTAGGAGTCGAGTTAATATCGGATTCCACTTGTCAAACTCTGCCTCTAACTCGAAATGGAGCTCAATCACATTATCTAATGATTTTCCTGACCAAATTTTAGCAGACGATATTCTCATTAATAATAATATGGTTATGGTAAATATTTTTAACAAGCATTTTATTTCTTCAAGTTCTATTTTTAAAGAAACTCCTGAGTGTTATTCCAAATCCATCTCTTCGGAGAGAAGATAGTCCGATTTTTAATTTTTCTCCAATTTCAAGAAGTGAGGTCTTAAAAGGTTTAAACAATCTAGACATCAAGAAGTCTGCAGGGCCTGATGAAATTGAGCCATATTTTTTTAAACTGGCTGCCAAGATCATTGCTGGCCCATTAGCTTATATTTTTAATTTATCGTTAGAACAAAATATTGTTCCTGATGTTTGGAAATCTGCTTTGGTTGTACCCCTGCTGAAAGGCGGTGACCCAACCATTCTAAATAATTATAGACCGATTTCGAAGCTATCAGCTGTGGCTAAAATTTTAGAATCTATTGTCACCGAACAGCTAAAGGAATTTTTAATTATCAATAGTATTCTATCTAGGTTTCAGTCCGGTTTTAGAAAAAATCATAGTACAGTAACTGCTACTATGAAAGTCTTAAATGACATTACCTGCGCCCTAGATACTGGAAGATCATGTGCTGCAATGTTCATTGATTTGACTAAAGCTTTCGATACGGTCAATCATGATATTCTTTTGTCGCGTTTACATTGTATCGGTCTTTCTGGAACCGCATTAGGTTGGATCAGGAACTATTTAAAGAATAGGAGTCAAAGAGTGCAAATTAAGGGGTCTCTTTCTGACAAGCTCACCATCGAATCTGGTGTGCCACAGGGGTCCATTTTGGGTCCCCTGTTGTTTACATTATACATTAACAATCTTGGTGATAATCTATCAGATGCAAGTATCCATTTATATGCCGACGATAGCATTATCTTCTGTTTTGCATCTTCTATTGAAAATTGCATTTTAAAACTGCAGGAAGAATTTGAATTAGTTCAGCGTAACCTATTTTCTTTAAAACTCAGTCCCTCCAGGATTTCGCGGGCCTTTTTTGTGATTGTTGCGGCCTAAAATGCCTGATGTTGCAGCCGCTTTTTTAAAAAGTTGCGATAAAAGTTGCGATGTTCTTCTGCATGTTTTTATAGGTTAAAACGGCAAAGATAGATAGATTTTTACTTAAAATGCCCATATTGTGCTTTTTGGCTTTTTCCCTTTCCTTTATTGTGTTGTTATATTTTTTGTGCATGTTATAGGTTTACTAAGAGAGAAAAGTCCAAATTCCACCCCAAAGGGACTTATTATGTCCCACAGAAAACACTGTTCATCATCTGCATCTGCTCTATTGTAGTCCAGAATTGACTTAAGAGACAAAGTCACACACTTTGTAACACACGAACAAACTAACTAACCATTAGTAACCATAAAAGGCAAAACAAACGATTTAAAGACACAGCAAAACCTAACAAACTAAGCTTCTAAGCTTTTTTTTTAAACAAGATCTGCACCTGCAAAAAAGTCAATGTGCAGAACCTCACAAACATTAAGCAGCATTTATGTTGAAAGATGCCAATACTAATAAAGTGCAAAATACAGTTTTAGGAATAGCCACTAAAGTTAAATGGTGGAAAAACCAAATGTTTGATAATGTATTTTAATATAGCTAATATAATATAATATAGCCGCATATCCAATAAAGCTGTTCTCATTTGCTTAACTTTTTTTTTGTCAGACAATAGAACGAGTCGGCTAGCTATTTTTTATGTGTAAAATTTTCTGAATTGAGAGAGTTCGGGAACTGGGTGAACTAATGCACTGTGATAGTGAGTAGCCTATTACAAGTGATAAACACAAGAAAAGAAAGGAAAATAAAATGGTCAAACTCAATTCTTTAAATATAAAACAAAAAGAAGCAGATAAGTGATAAGTCCGTGGAAACAACACTGCTCATTTGCATCTGTCAGCTGCCGTGCTGCTCCTCTACTGCAGCCGTTCACTGAACAGGGACGCAGAGAGAGGTGTGACGGCAGGGAGAAAGCAAACCTCGTGCTCGCTGGCAACATTTGGTTACTGAGGTTTGTCCAAAAAGCCGCTAGATTTGTCTCTAGTCGCTTTTTTTTATATCACTAAATATAGCGACAAAGACTAAGTTGGCAAAATTGGCCTTTTTTCTGTTATTTTTGTAGGTAGCCTAAATGTGAGACGTTGGCAGTCCACATCTGCTGCGTCTTCTGAACAAAACAAGTGAGTTTGCTGACGTATGACGACGCTTTGCTGGAGACCGCGGCGCGATGATTCGTCAAAGTTGCAGAAAAGTTGCGGTGATTTTTCAAAATTGCAAGGCGCACTGAATTCACGTGGATTTGTTGAAGTTGCGTTAATAGTTGCGATCGCGACATCGCGAAATCCTGGAGGGACTGAAAACTAGTCCTAAATGATAAGAAAACAAAATACATGGTCTTTTCTAGGAAACATAAGACCGATTCTTCTCCACCACCTATTTACACTTTGCAGGGTAACTCTATAGAACTGGTCTCCTCTTACAAATATCTAGGGTTTGTGTTGGAAGAGGACTTATCATTCAAGTTACATGTTAAACAACTGCTGTCTAAGTTAAGGTTACAGCTGGGGTTTTATTTTCGGAATCATTTTAACTCTTTCCCCGCCAAACACGGAATTTTCCGGGTTTAATGAAAAAACGCATCTGCGCCAAACACGGAATTTTCCGGGTATCCGTGTTTTAGGTGGTATACGGTAAGGAAGACCCGCGCGCATGTCCTGAATGAGTGCGCAACTCTTTGATCAGAGAAACAGATTGCAATCGTCTCAAACAGTGGAGTAGTGAGAATGTATCAGACAGACAATGCAGAGGTATATGGCTGAAGTACTGGAGGTTAATGGACTCGGAGTCCGATCACTCTTTATTTGATAATTCTGAATCTGATCGGGACGAAGTAGTCAGTGAGAGAGATGCACATGTTGTCACAGAAAGTTCTAGCCATGGACGTGCCGCAGATAGATCGTATAATATTATGACACTATAATATGTATGTGTGTGTGCAGGCATTTATGTGTGGCTGTCTAAATATGAAGGTGTAATTGTCAAATTATTTCTCTCTTTGTGCACATTTACCACATTGTAATATGTATTTGTGTGTGTGTGTGTGTGTGTGTGTGTGTGTGTGTGTGTGTGTGTGTGTGTGTGTGTGTGTGTGTGTGTGTGTGTGTGTCTAGGCCTGTTTATTGTAATTCCAATTATTCATTATTCACAGGTAGAACACAGAGAGGCAGAGGCAGAAGTTCTATTGCAAAAGTTACATTTCCCTTACATCCTGGGAAATTTGATATATTTTACATTTATTTTATGTTTTTAATTTATTTTGGAAAGTTTTATATATGAAGGAAACAACATCTGAATGTATTCTGCTTTTAAATGCACTTGTTTGATAAAAATACCTTTTTCTCAGTTTTTTGTCCAAAATGTTGTGTTTTTGACAACACCTACCTCTGTTCAAGAGGCAATAAAAAAAGAACAGATGAAGATAAAATAAAAACGTTTTTTTTGCCTAAAAGCAGAGGCTCAGATCTTTATTTTTATATATATAATCTTCATATATTCATGGAAGAAAATATTCAGCGGGACATTCAAATTTAGCGAAAATCGTCAAAAACCCTGGCGGTGGCTGGCAACTTTTTTTTAAAACGCTGGCGGGGAAAGAGTTAAATTGGTTTCTTGAACATGACAATGAGTTCACTGTACTAAAATGGCCCCCACAGTCACCAGATCTCAACCCAATAGAACATCTTTGGGATGTGATGGAACGGGAGCTTTGTGCCTTGGATGTGCATCCCACAAATCTCCATCAACTGCAATATGCTATCTTATCAATATGGGTCAACATTTCTAAAGAATCCTTTCAGCACCTTGTTGAATCAATGCCACGTAGAATTAAGGCAGTTCTGAAGGCGAAAGAGGGTCAAACACAGTATTAATATGGTGTTCCTAATATTCTTTTAGGTGAGTGTGTGTGTGTGTGTGTGTGTGTGTATATATATATATATATATATATATATATATATATATATATATATATATGTATGTACTATTTACGTGTGTGTATATATATGTATATATGTGTATGTTATATATATATATACTGTATATATATATATATATATATATATATATATATATATTTCAGTGCACGCTCTTTTTCTTCCATGATTCATCGGCTGTTTTCGACGGCCTTCACAGTTTTCCGTAGCTTTTCCTCTGACGCAACAGATTCGCTACTCTAAATAAGTCTCCAAGTTCACTTAAATTGCACCTAAATCGTTTCTGACTTTACAACAGGATGTTTAAAAGCATTTTAGTTTATTCTCATCATGAAAGTGCATTAGTAGAGGGAGAGACAGGTGAGCAGCGGGAGAGTGTGTGCCTGCAGCTTTTCTGTGTAAGAGATCCAACAAATGCCTGAAAGTGTGAGTGTACTGCATCAAACTAAATAAAAGTTTACAGATATTCAGTGACAGGAAAATTAAACTACAACAAACTAAATTAAACCACTACATATATGTTGAATATAATGTATAATGTATATAATGTATAAGTGCAAGCAAGCTCTTTTTTATTTTGGCAAGTATCGCGATAGTTGTGTACCGTAAATTTTAACAAATTTTACTATTGTGTTTATTACACCCCTAGAGGAAATTGCAACATTGTAACAATAGTAATCCCTGTTTTGGAACAAAACAAACAATCTACTGGTGTTAAAATGCCCTAAGTATATTTGCTGTTGTTCTTTCTCTGTTTCAGATTGCGATTTGTGTTTGGCCCATGTGCTCTTCAGGCATTGGATCTGGTGGACCAACGGTCTGTCACATGCATGTCATCTCCCAGCAGTCGAAAGGCTTTTCAGGTAGAAGGGAGTTTGCTAAATACTGCCCAAAAATGTCTGCAACAATATAAAATATCTCAAATAAAGTTTTTCCTCTCAGCTGCTGAAAAAAAAAAAACTTATATTAAAGGTATAGCGGAGGATCTTTCCGAATTTTAGAGAAGACCCGCCCTCTCCAATTTTTTAAAAAAATGCACATGCACAAACACAACACTCTTGCTTCCGAGAGGGAACGTCTATTACGCCTTGCACAATTATGTTGCAAATTCTAAACTAACTCAAAAATATTCATAAAAAAGACAACATGTAAAATGCCCTTCCGTGTTTTATTTACTTATTATACTGATCGATTGAGTGACCGAGGACTCAAGACATGATATGTGCAACCCTGTATCACACGAAATACGTTCTGAGGAAACTATTTTGCAAATCGCAATTACGTTACATAGCAACATATAAGCAGTGCTATTACGTTGGTCCTTAACCTAATATCTCTCATTGTTAATACGTTATTTTTATACATACTGTAGTTGCATATGGAGAAGTAGCTTGTTGCATTTGTGTAATAATAAACACACAAGATTTTAGAATATTTCAGCGTGATACCATTTACCATTTTGGTCAAAATGATACTTTAGACAAATTGAGATGTTTACCATGTCTATGCGGTGCATGACTCGTGCCAGGGCTAGCATTGTAGCTTGCATTAACTTTTACTAGTGATTTTAAATGGATTTCTCCAAATAGCGTGACAAACTTTACCTGTCTGGTAGAATCTTCGCGACTGCGGCATCAGTGAGAAGCCCAACCTGTGCTTTTAGCGCACGCCAGCGTGTGATATTCACCCAAAATCACTCTGGTCTTGTTTCTATATTCTGCGGCCTTTCTCTTCTTATCATACACTTCGTAAACATTTTTTCTCTTTCGACCCTCAGCCATTTTCAAAGGAATGGCTGAAACCGTAACTCCGACATAATACACCTGAAAGTGAAAACTACATAGGGATGAGCACGTAGCCTACGACGGCCTTACGTAAACATATCACCAGAATGATTGACACTTAGGTGGACCAATAGTATAGACTACCCACCCGGAAAAAGAAAATCCTCCGCTATACCTTTAATCATGTTTGGCTGAAGGTGTGACACAAATTTTGAAGAAGTAATGCATTGAAATTTCGGGAACTGAAAATATTTGAAATTTCAAAAATACAGAATTTGGGGTTTCATCCAGAAAAGTTGTGGAGGGCCAAAATAATCTACAGAAACGGCGATTCGGAGTTTTGCCTGAAATATTAAAAGAATATTTCAGAAGTGAAGAAATAACTAACTGGTTTGTCACCTGTGAACACAAGACCCTGCACAGAATACTTAAAATTACTTCATTACAGAAACTTTTATTTTTGGTTTTGGTTTGACTAAACGTATATATTTTTTTGGTGTTTCAGCAAAAAATTATTTTTTGTGCATTACTAGCTAAAATACCAGTTTGTTCTGATTTTAAAGGAGTAGTTCACTTTAAAAAAAAAAACTTTTGGTGTTAATTTACTCACCCCCATGTCATCCAAGATGTCCATGTCCTTCTTTCTTCAGTTGAAAAGAAATTAAGGTTTTTGATGAAAATATTCCAGGATTTTTTCTCCATATAATGGACTTCAATGGGAACCAAACGGTTCAAGGTCCAAAAGACAGTTTCAGTGCGGCTTTAAACGACACCAGACAACGAATAAGTGTCTTTTCTAGCGAAACGATCGCTCATTTAATAATAAATAACAAAGTTTAAGTTTTATAAGCACAAATGGTCGCCTTGCTCTTATCTGTGATGCGCGTTCGTGACTCTCCTGTTCACACTCGTTCATCAAAATGAACAAATCGTTTTTCGAGGCATGACTCGAACGGTCCTAGATAAGACCCTAATTCATCGTCTGGTGTCGTTTAAAGCCCTTTGAAGCTGCACTGAAACTCTGTCTTTTGGACCTTGAACCGTTTGGTTCCCAATGAGGTCCATTATATGGAGAAAATCCTGGAATGTTTACATCAAAAACCTTAATTTCTTTTCGACTGAAGAAAGAAAGACATGGATATCTTGGATGACATGGGGGTGAGTAAATTATCAGCAAAAGTTTTTTTAAAAGTGAACATCTTTAATGATCAAATTATTGAGTCAAGTCAAGTCAAATATATTAATATAGCGCTTTTCACAATTAGTCCAGGCAAAATAGCCCATTTTGGAGCCAAAAATAGAACTAATTGTAAAAGAATTTTTTTCATCATAGATCATTTCTATGAGGTGTCCAGAACAACATACTAAAAGTCCTAAGAAATCCTAGTTGAGGAAATATGTTTAATTCGCATCAATCCGAAGTGTGTGCCAGTAAGGCCAGACAACATACACCCCAATGGGGCTATCTTTTTTACTTTACTCCTATCAAAATAAAACTTTATACAATGAAAGTATCCATGAAAAGTAACACATTTTGTATTACAAGTTTCTTTGAAAAGGAATTTTATTATGCAAATGAGCTATACACTAATCGAATATGCCCAAAACACACCCAAATAGGCTTAATTTTTTCCTTTACTCCTACCACAATAAAACTTAACACAATGAAAGTCTACAAGAAAAGTAAAACATTTTGTATTAGAAGTTTCTTTGAAAATGAATTTTATTATGCAAATGAGCAATTTACTAATCGAATATGCCCAAAATACACCCTAATGGGCTTGTTTTTTTTTTTCCTTTTTTTAAATGATTAGTTCATCTCTCGAGTTCGGGTTCGGCCGGGTCCGACTCTTTCGTTCTTCCTGTCAGTCCCATATAGACGAATCCGGCGAAACTACCGGAAGTAAGCGGGCGCCATTACTGAGCTGTTGCTGGGTAGCGTTGCGCCATTGCCTCCTATTGTTTTAGTTGCAACTTGCGTCCACTGGAATAAACAGCCCGCGATTTACGACTGTCACTAACGTTACAACGTTATCCCTTGTATAATATCGAGTGGGTAAACAGTTTCCGTTATAAATTGTTTCAATGGTGGCAGTAAAATTTCAATTTTGAAGAGAAAACACTGTGAATACCCCGGGTCGACTGCCCCTGTCTGGTGCCGTACGGTTTACAGATTTCCTGGGCGAGTACAAGACGTGGACATTCGCGTATAATAACAATTATTTAATGACATAAGTAAAAAATATATAATAAATATGTGATAAAGTGATCAGCAAAATCTCCTCTCTTGCTATTTTTTCTATTCAATTAACATGCTATGGTCATTAAATGGCTTTCCTGAGCTAAATGTAACGTTATGTGACATAATTGTTTTCCTGCTGTTATATTGACCTCTTTCCATGGTTTAAAAACACTAATTGGTCGATATTATGTATACTTTCTAGCTGTAATGTTACCTTACCCTTGCCTGTTGCAATGTGAAAATGAGATAAATAATGGACACAAATGAAAAACATGAATTTGTTTATTTGATTTCATTCATTTATTTATTTATTGTTGCCAAATGGACAGATCTTTTTATAGTTTCCTCGTTAGCAAACGTTAGCCTAGCTAGCTTGCCCAGCTATTTTTATAAATAACGTTAATCTGTAAGATCGTTTGTACTTTCATCTGTGACTGGAGGCCACTGCAGTCACAGATCAAACCAACAAGTCATTCTGCCTGGCTGTAGCTGTCATCGAGGGTGAGTTCGCGTTATTACCGAGGTTTGTTTACATACCGGTGCATATGTCTATATGCCTGTGTAACAGCTCAGTAATGGCGTCGCCACAAGATGGCAGCCTACACAGAACACTCGTCGGATACGTCTATACATAAATGATAAATGATCACACTATATGCGTATTTGTGTAATGTTCTGTGAGCCTACAAACCCATGTTTAATATACACTCACCGGCCACTTTATTAGGTACCCCATGTTAGTAACGGGTTGGACCCCCTTTTGCCTTCAGAACTGCCTCAATTCTTCGTGGCATAGATTCAACAAGGTGCTGGAAGCATTCCTCAGGGAGTTTGGTCCATATTGACATGATGGTATCACACAGTTGCCGCAGATTTGTCGGCTGCACATCCATGATGCGAATCTCCCGTTCCACCACATCCCAAAGATGCTCTATTGGATTGAGATCTGGTGACTGTGGAGGCCATTTGAGTACAGCAAACTCATTGTCATGTTCAAGAAACCAGTCTGAGATGATTCCAGCTTTATGACATGGCGCATTATCCTGCTGAAAGTAGCCATCAGAAGTTGGGTACATTGTGGTCATAAAGGGATGGACATGGTCAGCAACAATACTCAGGTAGGCTGTGGCGTTGCAACGATGCTCAATTGGTACCAAGGGGCCCAAAGAGTGCCAAGAAAATATTCCCCACACCATGACACCACCACCACCAGCCTGAACCGTTGATACAAGGCAGGATGGATCCATGCTTTCATGTTGTAGACGCTAAATTCTGACCCTACCATCCGAATGTCGCTGCAGAAATCGAGACTCATCAGACCAGGCAACGTTTTTCCAATCTTCTATTGTCCAATTTCGATGAGCTTGTGCAAATTGTAGCCTCAGTTTCCTGTTCTTAGCTGAAAGGAGTGGCACCCGGTGTGGTCTTCTGCTGCTGTAGCCCATCTACCTCAAAGTTCGACGTACTGTGCGTTCAGAGATGCTCTTCTGCCCACCTTGGTTGTAACGGGTGGTTATTTGAGTCACTGTTGCCCTTCTATCAGCTCGAACCAGTCTGGCCATTCTCCTCTGACCTCTGGGATCAACAAGGCATTTCCGCCCACAGAACTGCCGCTCACTGGATGTTTTTTTCTTTTTCGGACCATTCTCTGTAAACCCTAGAGATGGTTGTGCGTGAAAATCCCAGTAGATTAGCAGTTTCTGAAATACTCAGACCAGCCCTTCTGGCACCAACAATCATGCCACGTTCAAAGTCACTCAAATCACCTTTCTTCCCCATACTGATGCTCGGTTTGAACTGCAGGAGATTGTCTTGACCATGTCTACATGCCTAAAAG